ACCATTTGAGACAGGACGTTGATGATCATGATTTATCTTGAGTTTAGATATGGTTTATAGGTCTTTATGATGATATTGATGATATCGATGATGTTGATGCGTTATTTTTTGGTATAAACACATATTCAGAAAATTACGTTCGGGATATCAACCAACAACGCCATGACGAAGACTGCCATGAAAAACCCCAGTCGCAATTTCGGCCGGACTTTCCTCCGGAAGCGTGCGCGCTTCGCAGGAAGCCAAATCAGCACATGCCAATGTGCCTTTACTGCAGTTGCTGTCTCCAACTTTGAGACGGGAACTGGAGTTTGCGCGGAACTCTGGACCTATGGAGAAATTGGATTTCATCAATGAGCTGCCTGGCTTCCAAATCCTTTTCGCATTGGTCGTCTAAAACTATATGTCGAGTAGATGCGAGCATTGTAGAGGGTACAAGATAGTGCAAGCCCAAGCCAGCCAAAACGCGTTTTTTGTGAAGGTTGCTGCGAAATCTTTGGACAGCTATATAGGTCTTTGAAATATCTTATCCCCCTAATGTATCTTGACATGAAATTCCCCTCCATGGGCCCAAACGGAATCAATCCAATACGTTCTTCCAGGAATTCCATTTGGGATGATTTTGGGTATTTTGCCTCCAGTGTTTTTTCTTTTTCAGAGACAAAAACACATTGCCTCAGTCGAGACGACAGGCTGCTTCCGACCGATGACCTACAAGTCCTGCAAGTGATGCAGGATTTGGCTGTGAATGCCATGACAGATCTGGTGGCTGCCACCAAAGATGTGATCTTTCTTTGCGGCCGCACAGCAGACCACGCCTTCTTGAAGATCAATGGACCATTGAGCGCCCTGGGATGAATTTCGACCCAGGATTTCAACTTTTCACCCGACCTGGAAGATGATACCACTTGACAAAGTGTTTGGAATGGCCGTGGTTTTGGAGGTTTTGGAGGTTTTGATTTCCCAAGAAAATGTTTGCCACGTGTGGCTCATTTCTATGGTACCCCAGTTCTATGGGGTATATTTTTACATAAGAAACAAGACGGAACGATCGGGTAAGTTTACATATGGAACTATATGACGGTATAGCCCATTGATATGGTGGCTTCAGAATTTGTCCAGTTTCCACTTTGAAAATGGAAGGATGATCCGCAATTTGGCTTTGTTTGAAACTAGGGCATCCTTCTTTCAAACAAGCTACTGTAATCATCTGTAATCATCATTTTCCCCATTTTTGGACAAGCCCCTTGGATCCCTTGGTGCCATGCTGAGGCTACTTCTATAGCCAGGAGGATGAGGAGAAACAATTAGCACTGACTGAGGAGTCCTGGGTTTCTGAAATTTGTTTATGGGCCAATTCGGTATATCAAGGTGACTTGGTGGCGGAGGATGTGTCCAGCTCCTTGGCAGAAATGCGAATGGAGAAGACGGCCTTCTTTGGTCTTCTAGTGCTAAACAATTTTATACATACTGTATTAATAAATAAATAAATAATATATATATATATATTAATACACATAAATAAATATATATATATATATATACATACACAATATTATATATTTACCCAAGACACGGGATGATGGCTAAAATTTCAAAAATCCTCCATACCCTTTGGAGAGGGTTGAGCCCTCTCCACCTAGGTTTGGTCCTGTTGGAAGTGGGGCCCTTCTGTCGCATCGTGTCTCAATGTGCTACGACGCATCGCGCAGCCATTCGCTACTGCAGCCATTTCCTCCAGAACTGGTCCACTTGGTCCAAACTTCAGATCCTTGGCATCCTTTCGACCTCAGGCTAGACATGATGTGGAAAACCCATAGAATGGTCATTCCAACTACCTATTCAAATGGTGTTTAATGAATTTCCACATCGAACTGTTAGTTTACAGGAGGGTACGTACTACTTGGAGGATCATCCAACAGATTTGTTAATGTGGTTAATAACCAAAGTTGGTTCAGCAATAGATGTGTGTTTTTTTAAATATAATATCATATAACCAACGAAAAAAACAGGATACCCCGCTAAAAAAGGGAACTTACGAACTAGGATTATTAACCACTTACGATTTGTGGGATGATCCTCCAAGTCATGATATCTTCCGGTTGATAAGAACCATGCTGGGACGCATGTTTGGGACCCCCAAAATGGAATGCACTGCGTACGCAAAAGCAGGGTTTCTGGTTTATTGGTGATGATTACCCATAAAAATGGATACCTACCAACATGAGCCAACATCATCCAATATCTGTATCATGGGCTTTGGTCCCAATATTCGGTTCCGGTTGGTAGCGTGAAACGTGAGCCCTGGAAGGTGATACATATGTTCGATGATACAAACTTAACCCAAGCCAGTATCAGCACATGCTGGTGACAAGAGAGTGAAAACACACTTTTTCACACATTTTCACATAAGAAAACCAATTCTGTGATCTTTTTCTACAGATAGTAGTTTGTTTCAATTTTCCTTGGCATTTTCCCAACCAACTCATCCGGATGGAGGCCCCCCAGCGCACCGGGTCCCAGGCCGTGCTGCACGGATCTGGCGCCGGGCTCCATGATGAGCTCGTTTAGCGCCACCTCGGAGGGCTCGCGGCCGCACCGGGGCTGCTGCGCGTGGCCGGCCATCGCGCGGGGCAGCGAGACGGTGGTGCCGCAGTGATTTTCGCGTCAACATTTCGTGGTTTTGTGTTTGTTATCCCTGGAAGTATAGAAGATCTATTACATTATAGTACATTATATTACATAAACACTTGTAACATTTGGAAAAAATGCCTGTTACGGGTGAAGTTGAAGATTCTGATTGGAATTTGGTTGACGAGGGGATTGTGCCTCAGTGAAGCTGAGATACAACGGAAACGACTATTCGAAGAACGGAACATGTCGAAGAAAAATTGATCCGGACAAATCCACACACTGTTTAGCCGCACCGGAAACCCGGAAGGCTGCAGTGTTTAACAATGTTTAACACCTAGCTACCAACACAAGCGTTTCCCCTCCCCTTCTGGCCCTCTCACCGATCTTGGAATGTCCGCTATAGCTTTGTTGTTGGTTTTTCACAGTCCTATGATCAACCCAGAGTTTCACACTATGTGTCAAAAGAGGAGGGTATGCCCATGCCATATGCCTCAGGAGGCAGAACGCAGAACTTTAGGTTCACATTTTGAAAGGACTTGATTGGACCCCAATTCCCATCACTTTCCTGTACCAATCTATACTATCCATACTTGCGACATCTTACAACCATTTGTGCAAAGTTTTTTTTGGGGGCCATTTCCAATTCATCTTCAGCACAGCGGGTATGTCCAGTGAAGCATCCCAGTCCACGGTACCCACGGTCTTCGGCGAACGCCCTGGAGACCGTCAGAGAGTCAGTGCAGCAAAGCTGACGGATGTAAATGATGGTGATGTCAGCAATGGAAGCAGCAGCATGTCTTGAAAACGACGGATGGCCCCAGCGAAGTCATGGGACCCAATTTTTAGGGACCCAATATTTTGTTGTATCCCAGATTGGTATCCCCCTGGAAGACAAAGCTTTTGATGGTGAGGCAGCCTGCTTTGTTACGTGAAATCACACGTTTTACTGGTCAACTCCTGAGTTTTTTGCTGGGCGAACCCCTCCATTGGAGGAGGAAGTGCAGCAAGATGCAAAACACCGCACCACTCGCGGCGATTTCACGGAGTAGCAAGGCTTGGGGGCCATGGGTGGTCTACACTTTCTGGCATCTCAGCAAGCTGATACAAATGTAGCTAGATATTGAGACTTGCAGCATGATAGCTCAATGGCAAATTGCGGTAATCAGAAAACCTTGCAAACTGGGCAGCATAGCTCAGAGAAATGAGGAAACAATTTTCAACTTCCAGATTTCTAATGCCGGATGATTGATGGCTGATGATGGATGATGGATGATGCACGATGGATGATTGATGATTGATTATCGATGATCAATGGTTGGTGATTGATGATGGCTGATTGATGATTGAGTGGTGATGCTTATCATGATATTGATGATTGAGGCTTGAATGGTGGTGATATTGATGATTGAATGATTGAAGGGTGCTGATGGTGGTGGTGGTGATGGTGATGGTGATGATGGTGATAATTTTGATGGTTGATTATTGGTGATTGATGATGGATGATGGAACGATTGTTTGGATGATGATGATGATGATGATGATGATGGTGATGGTGATGGTGATGGTGATGGTGATGATTATGATGGTGATGATGGCAATGGATGGTGACGATGATCATGATACTCGTGATGGTGGTGATGATGATCATCATTATGGTGCTTTTTAGGTTTGTAACAATCACCATTATTGTGAGAGAGAGAGAGAGAGAGCGAGAGAGAGTTCCACTTCCTTGTTTGTGTTTCGCAAGGGTCTGCCTTTTTCAATTCCGCTGCTTGCCCAGGCCCCAGCAGAAGTCGCAGGCCCAGATGTCTTCATTTTTCGCTACGAACAATGTTGGAACTGAAACTAAAAGATCAGTTTGTTGAGCTGGTGCCTTTGGCTATTCCAGGGGACCCAGGGCACCCAGGGCACCCAGATGATGCAAAAACTCGGACGACCTGTTCAGCTATGAGCCACCAGCTGATTCCAATGGGCCGAGTTCATTGACATCACTTTGAAGGCGCGAGATCTTATCACATGAGAGTTTATTGTGGACTTCGCCATGGACGAATGGGAACAATGCATCGACGGAACATCACAAACAATCGCCATCGGGAGATCATGCGGTTGCTCTGTAGAGTCTGTAGAGCTTCGAGATAAGTCGATAAGTTCGGTGGCAATTCTTCACCTTGCTCGTTAGACGCGTACATCGGGTAGTGATAGGAAAGGAAACGTTGATGGAAACAGTCCATCCCGACGTGCCGACGTGCCTGGCATGGAGGACATGGAAATTCCAGAACTGCGGTGGCCGATGTGTTTTTTTAAGCCTTAAGCGATGTGTGAAAACAGCATGGACGGTTGGATGTCCCAAATGTGTGGGGTTCGGAAATGGGCCCCAAGTTAAAGTGTGGAAAGTGAACACATACAAAAATGCAACAGGTAGTGAACATATGTCAAAATGGGATGCTCTCCGCTGTTTCAGCACCTTTCCGCAGCATGAATAGTCTCCATGAGCAAAGCTGATCCCATCTTCCAGAGGGCTCGACACTTGAATCGACGAGCAAGGTTTGCTTTTTCTGAATACTATTCAAACCGGTTCCCAAACTTCCAAGTTCCACCATCCAACATATCACTAGACTCAAACTTTGATAACTTTGGAGCCCCCTAAAAACCACCCGTTTTTTTTGGGAAACGGCCCTTTTCAGCAGAAACCCCGATGCCACGGTGGAGCCATGGGCTGCAAGAAACGATTGCGATCCGCATCTGGCGCATTCTGCTGCAAGAGGTCCGGACCGATAAAAAAAGGGAAGATCCAATAGCTCAACCGCTGGTTTTTGGTGGTTTGTTGATGGTTTTTGCTTGCGCAAGATCTGAACACCTGAAACCATGGGTTTTTCCTATGAAAAATGGGGGATTCCAGTTTTTAAATGTGTCCCGAAAGAAGCAATCCGCTGAGAAACCGCTGCGGGTGGTTTCGAAGACGTTCAGAACTTCGAGCAGTGGGAATGCGCCAGCCTTTAGCCATCCCAAGGAGTTCCTGCCTGGATTTTCATGGCATCTCAGGCTTCGGATGATGGGGGTGAGAAGACGGTGGACTTCACGAAAAACCGAGCCAACGAGCGAGGCATGCCGGGAATCGCCCAGTTGTTTTACCATCCACGAAACCACCCAATGTGGTAGACACCATAATTAATGAATACCACAGACACCACAGATTTTCTGGCAAAATTGTGGATTGGTTTGAATGGTTTGTTCTTGGGTTTGGCACATTAAAATAGAATCAGCATCATCCCATCCCCCCCATCATAAGCAGCCACCAAAAAAGCGAACCCAAAAACTAAAACCAACAAATTCAGATGATCCAGCACCAAATCAGGTTTCTGGATGATTATTCCTCTTTTGGGAACGGAAGTAGTTCGATTTGGCGGTTCACGTTCACCCAGTTTGATCATGTTTTATCAAGGCAAGCGTCACTTCAATGCAGGAGGAGAAGCCCGACATTGAGAAGAACCTCCCAGCTTCATCTTCAAGCTGTTCTCAGAGAAACTTGTCTGAAGACTGCAGCCATGGCAGCGATGCCAGCTATAAAACATGTGCATTGCATTTAGATGGTCGCCAAAGGCACTTTTTCTCACATACCATTGCAAGATTGCAAGCAACCCATTGAAATGGAATCGTGTCCCCTACGGATATAGTAACTCGTACTAGAATGGCCTGCCATCATCACTGAATGACATTCAGTCACTATCAGCGCAAATGCAACGCGAATCAATTCAAAAACGGTGGGCATTAAACGAAACCATATCAAAGATTTTTCTTTGCGAGGGGAGTCATGAGCTTGTGTCATTGATACTTAGATCTTGTTTTTGCAAACCAAACAGTTTCGTCCCACATTTGCTCTTCGTCGTCTCCAGTGAATGATACCAGCAATACCAAGTGGTCTTCGTATCGTGTAAGGTGATCGTTTCCTTCAAAAAAAAGAACCATTCCATTTGTTTGTTGTCGGAGAGTCTCAATTTGTGTCTTTGGAGTGTTCCTTTTTCATAGATGGACTATTCGGTCATTGTGTTCAAAATCCAGAGTTGGTCAATAATCTTATTTCAATATTTTCAATTGGCCAACTATTCCAAAGGTGTCTCATCTTGGAAGTTGCTGATTGGATTCTTTCCCCTTGCCCCTTGGAATTATCATGCCCTTCCAGTTGGAGCTTTCCACGAAGTATTAGGCGAATCAAAAAAGCAAACACGCTAATATCGCTAATGGACAATCCCCATAAATCCACCATTTATAGATGTTCATTGATTTTCCCATTCAAATGCCATACGGGATTTCCCAGCTATGTTTGATGGCACCGGAGGTTCTCAGATCAGCTATGCTGCGATGGACCCAGAGGAGACACTAGTGAAATTCGTGGGATGAAATTCGTCTGGCTACTTAATCACCATGTGGAAGTTTTTTTAGCATGTTATTTTCTAAATCATCAATATTTAATCACGGCTAGTTAGAAACTCACTAAATCATCAATTTTTTCGACTGTAGAAGACGCCCATGTGCTAAATCATCATGTTTATCATCTATAAATTGTCAATGTTCATCCATTTTCATTGGCTACGTTAGATAACCAAGGTGTACCCCAATTTATGGCTCTTGTGCCAGAACCCTGGTACCGTTCTGTTAGCAAAATGGATGGGATGGGGTTTATTGATGTTCCCACACTTTTCTTCAACCTATTTCATATAGGTTTGACGGATCCCCTTGTGGCAAATACCAGGGTTTTTTCCAAGCCATCTGGGGTGTTATGCCAAAAATAGTTGACATGAAGTTTTGTACTATATATACTATATATACTATATATACTATATAGTATATATAGTATATATATATATACTATATAGTATATATATATATACATATACTATACCAGTGGTTGACAATTGGTGTGGGTCTGGTAGTTTTTCCTCTTCAAGGCGGCCCGCACCTAAATTCACCAATTCTGCAAGGCAGCGCTAGCAAACCCGCATGATGCAGCCAGGCCTGTCTTTTGCCATGGCCCGTGCTGAGCACCCTCAAGATTGCAGCAGCAATACAAGTGGGTAAATATGGATGTGCCCCAAAAGTTGGTATACCCTAAACCTATTGAGTTTATCAACCATTTCCATCCATTTCCCTACTAAGATGGCTATATAACGCTATGGGAGTCGCTTCCCTCTGCAACACCCGTAGAAAGATGGTGTCTCGCCCAAGATTCACGCCAGGTGGCTGCGTGACTTCAAGAACGCAGGTGATGGCACGGCGAAACCAGACATGTTCATGATCCGGCGGCTCCGACAGCTCATCTGGTCCCTTGGGGAAGATTGGTGATTGCGGGGGGATGGCCATCTGAGATAGCCCAGTATATGGCCAACAGAAAAAGGAACATGAGAATTAACGATCAGATTTTTTTGGGGCACCCATTTTTTTGGGGCAAACCCATATCTTCATGTGTACAAGTCGGGGTTTATTTTTTTTATTTCGGCAATGATTGTAGTAGTGGTACATTTCATTCGCAGACACTGACATACAAGCTTCACAATTTCCGCATGTAAACAGGCACGGCTTCTCTTACAGGGTGGGAAGCAAGACTGAATGTCTTAGTGCATTCGACTCAGCAGTTTTCAAAAGGCCTTTTTTTTCGTGGCTATATTGTTCTACTCCAGGACATTAGCCTCTGGTAAACGTTTACATAACTATGGACAATCACCATGCTATTAATGGGAACATCCACTATTTCTATGGTCATTTTCAATAGCAAACTGTTAGTCATTACCAGGACATTAGGGAGATTCTCTCAACAGGTGGACTTCTCCGTTTTGCTTCTCCGGTGATTTCAACAGGTTGCAAACCGAGCGGCAGATCTTCGGCGAAAATGAGCAGTGTTGGATGCGAACCCAATGCGTCGATCGGGGAGGTGGAGTGCGTGACACCATCGACCAGGCCCTGGGGCAGGGCCGAACGTCAATGAACGTCAATGGTGCAGATATTCCTGTAACCTCTGGCAGTTTCACTGGACAAATACCACTGAAAATGAGAAATCAATAGAAATAAATGAGAAATCAATAGAAATGAATGAGAAATCAATAGAAATAAATTAGAAATCAATAGAAATAATCATCCACAAATTGTTCAAAACTGGTGGATTTTCTAAAATCCTTCCATGCCTGGTCTGGGATCACCGACAGCTGTGCAGGTTGCTCCACAGCTCAGGGTTGAGGCATGGAGCGAAGTTTCGTCGCCAGGGTGAAACTACCAGAGGCCTTGTTGTGGATGATAAATATCTACGGTATATCCAAATGCTGTATTATATCTTTATATACATACGCACACATGCGTATATAAATAAATAATACACATACAAATACATATATTACTGTATATATTATATAATATATATATATATAATTTTATATACTTATAATTACACATAATGTGTGTATAATATGTATATATATATATACACGTGTGTGTGTGCTGGTATTTTTGAGTTCTACGCGGTTGTACATTGAAGGTTTTTCACCGCGGTCACGTTGAAAAAAATCGCAGTGGGAGGTGATTGAATGCGACATTCTGGAACGTGCAGGGCAGTTGCACAGGCGCAGTGGCTGATGTTTTGTTTTTTTTGATAACGTGAATATACCGTACGTAATCAATGATGGTTGGTTGCTGGGGATTATCATAATGTTGGGGATTATCATAATCCGTTCTGGCAATCCTTATCAACATCTTCAACCAACCAGTAGGGATGGGTGACTTTTCCATGACTTTTCCTGGATCATCCAACTGAGTAAGTGCGAAAAAAAACACGAACTGTGGTAAAGCCAATGTCATGAACTGTCCCCATTACATATATATATATATGATATCATATATATATGATATATATGATATATATGATATATATGATATATATATATAATATCATATTATATATATATATATATACACATGATTACCATGTGTTATGGTGCGATGTTTCAACCCTCCCCAGTCATGGTCTATGGCTTTGGGTGGACAACCACAATTCGTTAGATGATCCTCCGGTTGCTACAACTTTTTTTTAATTTTTAATCATCCCACAATTTGTAGTTCGTTCATCCATTTATATCTATTTAAAAACCATAGTTTGTTAGGATCCATCTATAAACCAATTATGGTAATTTTCATCACCAAGTGCGAGAACTGGAGCACCACTTGGATTTTCACGCCACGTATTCAGTGTGCAGGAGCGAGGGCTACAGCGTTGCAGTGCTCAACATGGCTTCGCCGCACTCGCCGGGGGGTGGCTTTAGGTCAGGTGCCGGCGCACAGGACGGACTGAAATAAGGGCCCTGCTGCAGCTGGTGGTGGAGGGTTGACAAGTGGTGATTTCATGAGGCAAAATCGTGGTATCATTGTGGTTTAATGGAGATTCACCAATGACCATTCTTGGACTTTGATTTGATGAACATCAACACTCATTGTTGGTGATGTTTTGAACCATCGAAGATGATTCATGGGTGATGAATTTATCAATAATTCATGGGGAACTATAGGTATACTCGGTGTACGTCTACTTTTCACATCAATGAAGCAGCAATAATCAATAATAATCACCACTTAGACCATTCGACCATTGGACCATCAAACAATAGGGGTGTTTACCATGGGAATTGGGGTGCCAGAACTGAAAAAAAAGGTCAAGTCCAGTTGGGTGAGTCGTATCGCTTTTTTGGTCATGGTTCATGGTTCTTGGTTCATAGAGTGAGGAGAGATCAGCATTCTTGGTGTAAATTTCCACTTTGGTTGAGAAGAACATGGTAAACCATGATAAACCCAGTAACCCCCAATGTGTTTTAGTTCTTTTTGAATGGGCAGAGCCCCTCGGCCCCCGCCCAAACTCCTTGGGTTTGCGTTGTGTTCTCGCGAGGAGGAGAACCTCTTCCGGCGGAGTGATCTTTTTAAGTTTCTCCACTCGAGCTGCTTGGCCATGGGGAAGATGAGTGGCTGCATTCAACCCCCGGTTGATGAGTTCAGTGGTTTAAAATCCGCCTTTGCCGAATTTGTTCATTGGGGATTTCATTCATGAAATCAATGAACTGGGAATCCAACTGTTGAACACACCACTGTTGATTGATGATTCGCAGGGGGTTGCGTTGACCAACCCACTTTATTGGTATCACATCATAATAGGGACACCCACCAAGCAACCCGTGACTCATGGCATGGGAAAGGATCATCTCCATGACTCAAAAATGATCCTGTGGATTCAACCCATTCAACCCCAGGTCGGTGACCCCTCCAATACTGTTTTTCGGTTGGGTTTATGTGTAACCTTAACCATCCATTATTGGCAGGGTCTCCTTTTTTTGGGGTGTTCAATCCTCATGATTCATGATCAAAAACCATGTTTTTTTTTCCGATTTTTTCCGGACGGCTCGAAAGTAAATACGCTCAGATTCCCCTAATAATGATCAGCATTTTTGTAAAGTTATTTGAGGAGCGAGCAAGGAGATCCAGAGCTGGAGCTGTACCCAGTTGACGCCTGTTGGTTGATAATTGGTTGATTATTTGGGGTTGCATTGATTTGTTTAACATAGTTTAATGATGTTTAATGATGTTCAAATGATGTTTAATGATGTTTAATGATGCTCAAATGATGTTTAATGATGTTTAATGATGTTCAAATGATGTCTAATGATGTTTAATGATGTTCAAATGATGTCTAATGATGTTTAATGATGTTCAAATGATGTCTAATGATGTTTAATGATGTTCAAATGATGCCTAATGATGTTTAATGATGTTCAATTGATGTCTAATGATGTTTAATGATGTTCAAATGATGCCTAATGATGTTTATTGATGTTCAAATGATGTCTAATGATGTTTAATGATGTTCAAATGATGTCTAATGATGTTTAATGATGTTCAAATGCTGTCTAATGATGTTTAATGATGTTCAAATGATGTCTAATGATGTTTAATGATGTTCAACTGATGTCTAATGATGTTTAATGATGTTCAAATGATGTCTAATGATGTTTAATGATGTTCACATGCTGTCTAATGATGTTTAATGATGTTCAAATGATGTCTAATGATGTTTAATGATGTTCAAATGATGTCTAATGATGTTTAATGATGTTCAAATGATGTCTAATGATGTTTAATGATGTTCAAATGATGTCTAATGATGTTTACTGATGTTCAACTGACGTCTAATGATGTTTAATGATGTTCAAATGATGCCTAATGATGTTTAATGATGTTCAATTGATGTCTAATGATGTTTAATGATGTTCAACTGATGTCTAATGATGTTTAATGATGTTCAAATGATGTCTAATGATGTTTAATGATGTTCAACTGATGTCTAATGATGTTTAATGATGTTCAAATGATGTCTAATGATGTTTAATGATGTTCACATGATGTCTAATGATGTTTAATGAGGATTGCCGATCCACGCGCTAAAGACACAATGCCCTCAGCTTTCCCCAGAAAACAGGTGGATGACAGATGGTGAAGTGGGCACTGATCAATTTTTTCATGGTGACCATATTCCATGGACTGAAGGCAGGGGAATTTTAAAGTGTGGCACTGTAAACCACAACCCACAAGTTCCCATAGTTTCTCATTACCAATGGCTGCTTTGCCCAGTGTATCTGACATCAAAGTGCTTGGTGGGTGTCAGCTCTGTCGCTGGGAGAATCCCTCAAAGGAGGGGTTTTATCGGCAAATCACCCTATAAATGATGACTGGTTGGTGGTTTGGAACATTTTTTATTTTTCCATATATTGGGAATAATAATCCCAATCGACTAATATTTTTCAGAGGGGTTGAAACCACCAACCAGAAAACCATATTGAACGCATTTTATTTCGCCAGATGAAAACTCGCCCTTCCGCCACGATTAGAGGCTAATCCATTCCATTCCTCGTTTCGCCAACCCAAGGCGCTTATCCGATCAAGGACACTGCCTGCTGCTGGGTGATTTCATTAGAGTTTGCGAACTGGAACATTGCCATCTAGCATCAATGTACTATTAAACATGGTGATTTACTATTGCCATTGCACATCAATGTACTATCAACATAACCATTCATGTTGATTCGATTTACTATTAAACATGGTGATTTCCATACGTAGTTATGTGAGTTTACCAGAGGGATCCAGAAGGTATGAATTTATCAATCGGGGATGCTGCTGCTGCTGATGATGATGATGACGATGATGCTCCAATTTCTTTTGAGATGGAACACATGTGATACCTTTCTTCAAAAAGATGCATTTGGTACATCCAACTACTAATCTGCTGATGATGTGCTTTTGTTTCTTGGGATGACCATACCAGTTATAAGGAAGCAATGGACGAGTGATGACATCGATATGAACCTGCTGTATTGTTTTTCGAAGGGGAACCAGTGGAACCACCACAACTACAAGCGATGCCTGGCACACACATATATATATATATGTATGTATGTATGTATGTAATGTAATGTAATGTAATGTAACGTAATGTAATGTAATGTAATGGTATGGTATGGTATGGTATGGTATGTTATGGTATGTTATGGTATGTTATGGTATGTTATGGTATGTTATGGTATGTTATGGTATGTCATGGTATGTTATGGTATGTTATGGTATGTTATGGTATGTTATGGTATGTTATGGATGTTATGGTATGTTATGGTATGTTATGGTATGTTATGGTATGTTATGGTATGCTATGGTATGCTATGGTATGTATGTATGTATGCATGTATGCATGTATGTATGTATGTATGTATGTATGTTGGTATGTTGGTATGTATGGTATGTATGGTATGTATGGTATGTATGGTATGTATGGTATGTATGTTATGTATGTTATGTATGTTATGTATGTTATGTGTGTTATGTATGTTATGTATGTTATGTATGTTATGTATGTTATGTATGTTATGTATGTATGTATGTATGTAATGTAATGTAATGTTATGTAATGTAATGTTATGTAATGTTATGTTATGTTATGTTGTGTAATGTATTGTAATGTAATGTAATGTATTGTAATGTTATGTAATGTTATGTTATGTAATGTTATGTTATGTTATGTTGTGTAATGTATTGTAATGTAATGTAATGTATTGTAATGTAATTATGTATGTATGTATGTAACATATGCATGTATATATACATATATGTATATATATGTATACATATGTATATATATATACATATACGTATATATATATATACACGTATATGTATATATATATACACGTGTATACGTATATATATATATATTTATGTATATACATATATGTATATACGTGTATATATATGTATATACATATATATATATGTATATATATGTATATATATATATAGGTATATATATATGTATATATATAGGTATATATATATGTATATATATATATACACATTGTATATGGATGCGTATGTGTATATGTCTAAGTATATGTATAAATGTATATGTATAAATGTATATGTATAAATGTATATGTATAAATGTATATACATATACACATATACATGTCAATTTTCAGCACATCTTTGTGGGTTCCTCCAACGAGTCACTGGCGCCAGCGACGCCCCAGTCGTCGAGGTCTTGTTTCTCCTGGGGTGACGATACTCAGAGGGAAGGAGCAAGATGGATATCCTTTCCTAGAACCCTGGCTTTGGACAGTGGCACATACCGTGCAGTGATGGCGCCAAAAAAAAGTGATCAATTTGGAAAGAGAGTGATAGTGATAGTATTTGATATGATCGTGATTATGGTGATTGTATAATGATCATGGCGATTGTTGTCATATTATATGTTTGAAAAGAAGAGAGGAAATTTTCGCCAAAGAAATATAAGTTGAGCTGTTGGCAAGGATGTGCTGCTATTTTTCACCGGTACTCGTGCTTTCATGAGCACCACTGACACAGCAGCAGAATTCAGCTTGCGACGACCGTGGGTTAGAATTCCAAGAATACATACGTTCCCAGAAAAAGAAAAAAACATACAGCACTTGAGGGTGAAAAGTTCCACTATTTACATATTTCACCAGAGTTATATGGGCCCCATATCCATATCCCAACTTGTGGATACGTATGGGGCTTGAAATCCCATAGTAATATAGGCCTATCAAGTCCCCAACTGCACCCTAAACTACAAGCTCTGGGTCCCTGGGTGTCCAAAATTGTCCAATAAAATACGGGATATGGTCAATGGGAATTCCAGGATCCTAAATTGGAGGTACTGTACCATTTTTCAGGCCATATTTTGTGGGGATATTCCCTTACATAGGCCTTACATTGATATGGCTATGCCTGATTATCGTGAACACCCCAAATTTGAGAGTCAAAAAAGACCCATCGAGTCGCTTTCGGTAGCCTCAATGATCCCGTTTTTTGTCGCTTATTCCACTAGAAACTGCATGATTAATTCCCATCATAGTTGGTTCTATAAGCAAAATTTCTTGGTGAAATCAGCATTCTTAAGCATCTCTATATATATATATACATACATATTAGTATATATATACACATACATATTAGTATATATATACATATTACATATTATATATATTAGTATATATGCATATACATATACATATACATATACATATACATATATTTACATACATAACATATACATATACATATATTTACATACATATACATATACATATACATATACATATACATATACATATATTTACATACATATATTTACAGACATATAAATATATATATATATACCAGAACGACCCATAGCTGCCCTTGCGCCAAGGAGAAGACCTTTCCCGTGACCGTCCTGACCTGCGCCGCGCTTCAGCATCCAACCTTGACCAGAGATAGGAGGCGCCGCTGAGAAGAAAAAGAAGATGGATGGATATTATCTTATATAAAAATAATCAATTATAATCATATATATATATAACCCTAATTATATTTTACATATAGAGGTTTCCATAAATGGGTGTACCCCTAAATCATCCATAGACATAGATGGATTTTCCATTACAAACCAACCACTTGGGGTATACAGGATGGGCCCCCCCAAGATAGCGTTCAGTTGCCAAAAAAAAGTGGTTGGATTCTATGGTTTATGGTAGATATAGCTGTAGTTTTTGTGGATATCATCTTGCTGGAAAACAATCAGAATAGAATGGAGGATGCAGTGCCATGCAGGGAATACGTTTTTTTTTCCCCCTGGTTTCCCGAAAGCTGAAAAGAACCGATGACTTGGAGCTCTTCAAAATCTGAATGACTTGGAGATTCTTTAACACGTAGAAATACCGTGGCCCATATGGGTTTGTCAATAGGGACCTCCCAAATGATCCCAATGGTCATTGAGGGCGAATGCAGATTTTTTGCAATGGATAATTTTGGTGAGGCCAACTAGATAGCCAAGTTGACGCACATAACTTGGTAGGGATTCTGGAGGATATAAGTATAGGTAATGAGTTTATAAACCAACTTATAACTGGTGAGGGCTCATCTTGTAACATGTTACAAGGACAATATATTAGGATGCTTCAGAACCAGAACTTACATGTTACACATGTTGGAATATCGTGGAATACATCTGGATTATTTACAATAGAATTTTGCTTATGGGACATATTTGTGCACCCGTATCCAATTTTGCGCATGGGCCACGGTGAAAAGTTGGATTTTACAACCAAATTGGGGGATGGTCTCAATCCATAGGAAATGGATGGAATGGCTATGTCAAGAGGGACCATAACATACATTAACATACTATAAGTGGTTGGTGGTTTGGACTTTTTTATTTGGTGTTCCATGATATATGGGAATAGTGATCTCAACTGACTTTCATATTTTTCAGAGGGGTTGAAACCACCAACCAGATTATAATGACCTCACCTCGTGATGTCCCTGGAATGATGGGAATTGGAAAAAGGGGAATCAACCCCATACATAGCTGCCCGTATGAGAACAGCTATTTTCAGGGTTTGCTTGAATTCTTACAATTCAGCCAGATACAATAGGATATCATGGAACATGTCATATAACATGTCATATAACATATATACGGAATATCAATGGGGACATATATGACCAACACTATCCAATTTGGGCCTGTCTGAAAATGCGGGATGCCCTATTTTCAGGTCTCTTCATTTCTGATGTGTTGCATGCCCCGAAAGGAAATCCTGCACGGAAAGGCTTTTCCGAAGCTCCCAGCTCGCACAGGTACTTGCCAAGGGATGAGAAGCGCATGCGGATGAAGGCGGCTTTGCGAAAGATGCTGAGGGGTTCAGTTTCTTTTAAATGGTGGTTATACTACCATTCGCGCAATTGGATAAAGGGAATATGAGGCGAGGATTTGCAGGAAAACCTTATACTAAACTGGTAAAAAACCAAAGGTTCTCTGTCAAAAAAGATCGTCAGCCAACCCATGAGAACTTCAGCAGTTACCCCGGGGAATGCTGTAGGGGTAGTGGGGGTCAGATGATTCTTTGCTTGACCCTGAAATGGGATGCGAAATGAATGGTTTGACGATGTTGCGATGTTTGACTGCAACAAAACGACACTTTTGTGGAGGTTTCCTAAAATAGGGGTACCCCTAAATCATTTTATCGAAGGAAGTTTAGAAGTCAAACTTCCGACAAGATGGACAGATGAAAAGCAGAGATGGGAAGAGTCAGAGAGAAGAGAAGAATGAAGAGAAGAGTAGAAGAGAGAAGATCAGAGAAGAGAAAGAGTCAGAAGAAAGAAGATGAAGCTGCGCGAAAAGGTAGGAAAGTCGCGAAACACTGTGTTTTTCTAATGATTTGTGGCTCCGGAGGGTCGAAAAGTAGGCTCGCTAAAGCGGCGGGTGCGGGGCCATGTGGCCAAATGAGAGATGAAAATTTGCACGCCATTGTGGCGCGAAGCAAATTTCCAAGTCAAAATGTACAAAACACCACATGTTCGGAGGATCACTTTTGGAAGTTGAGATGTCGAAAATGCGCACGCCGTTGTGGCGCGAAGCACATTTCGAAGTCAAAATGCACAAAGCACACCAGCTTCGGAATACTTTTGGAAGTTGCGATGTCGAAAAATTGCACGCAGTTGTGGCGCGAAGCACATGTCGAAGTAAAAACGCACAAAGCAGACCAACGTCGGAGCACTTTTGGAAGATGAGATGTTGAAAAAGTGCACGCCGTTGTGGCGCGAAGCACATTTCGAAGTCAGCATGTACAAAACACCATATGTTCGCGCCACTTTTGGAGGTTCAGATGTGTTTTCGCATGGCAGGCGCAAGGGATTGTGCATGCACCCTCTCAAAAGCGAGCAAAACGTGAGGGTTTTGTGGCATTTCCAACAAACGATGGCAGGCGTGGGACATTTGAAGAGGATCTGCAAAGATGCATGTTCCGTGGCAGGCGCAGTACAAGAGACATCTTCATCAGAGGTGTTAGGAGGTCCGGGCGGTGATTTCCTGAGAGGGGTTGCATTTTGGAGCATCAGATCTTCAGGTTTGCTGCGATGATTTTGCGTGACAGGTGCAGCACTTCGTATGACCTGGCATCACTTTTTCGTGGTAGGCGCAGTAGTTTAGACAGATGGACTGGAAAAATTGCAAAACACATTGGTACGAGGCCGTCAGCTCTGCACGCAACTTTCCATTTTTGAAGGACGTCTTGCAGAATTCTTTCGTTTTTGATGTTGTCAACTTCGAAAAATGAGGAATTCTCGCAGAATTGCTAGGTTTTTCCCGAGAGCGTCTGAGCGCAGGGTTCTTCCACTAGTGGGGGTCTGTATCTCATCTTCTCATCTTCACACCTTCTCATCTTCACACCTTCACTCACACCTTCTCATCTTCACACCTTCTCTCACACCTTCTCATCTTCACATCTGCTCATCTTCACATCTTCTCATCTTCACATCTGCTAATCTTCACATCTGCTCATCTTCACATCTTCTCATCTTCACATCTGCTCATCTTCACATCTTCTCATCTTCACATCTGCTCATCTTCACATCTGCTCCTCTTCACATCTTCTCATCTTCACATCTTCTCATCTTCACATGTGCTCATCTTCACATCTTCTCATCTTCACATCTGCTCATCTTCACATCTGCTCATCTTCACATCTGCTCATCTTCACATCTGCTCATCTTCACATCTGCTCATCTTCACATCTCCTGTTCACATCTTCTCATCTTCACATCTTCACATACTTACATCTTCTCTCTTTCTCATTCTCTCTCCTCTTTCCTCTCTCCTTTCTCTCTCTCCTTTCTCTCTCCCTTTTCTCTCTCTCGCCTTCTTTATCTTTCTCTCTTTAGGCCGAGGGTGGTGCCGGCGGGGAGTCACGAAACGTGAACCGATTTTACTTGTCGCACGAAATGAGGGTCGATCGTCAAAAACTGAGGTAAAATTGCGATTTTACTTGTGCCGGAGCAACCCTTTCGCACGAAATGAACGTCAAAAACTGAGGTAAAATTGCGATTTTACAAAAACGAAATGGGTCGATCGTCAAAAACTGAGGTAAAATTGCGATTTTACTTGTGCCGGACTTGTCCTGGAGCAACCCTTTCGCACGAAATGAGGGTCGATCGTCAAAAACTGAGGTAAAATTGCGATTTTACTTGTGCCGGACTTGTCCTGGAGCAACCCTTTCGCACGAAATGAGGGTCGATCGTGCCGCGACTTGTGCCGGACCTGGAGCAACCCTTTCGCACGAAATGAGGGTCGATCGTCAAAAACTGAGGTAAAATTGCGATTTTACTTGTCCCGGAGCAACCCTTTCGCACGAAACGAGGTTCGATGTGCAAAAACCAAGGTAAAATTGCGATGTAACTGGTGTTGGATGTAAAAGGGTGTGAGTGTAAGAGTGTAAGCGTTTGTGTGTAAGAGGATCTGTGTGTAAATGGGGTCTGTGTGTAAAAGGGTCTGTGTGTGAAAGTGTCTGTCTGTAAAAGCTTCTGTGTGTGAAAGCTTTTGTGTGTAAAAGCTTCTGTGTGTAAAAGCTTCTGTGTGTAAAAGCTTTTGTGTGTAAAAGCGTCTGTGACCGTCTGTGTGTAAAAGCTTCTGTGTGTAAAAGTGTTTGCGATGCAAACTATTGTCTTGCACTTCTGCTATTTTGTCTTGATACTCCTCTTCTCGACTGCCTATAACACATCTTTAATATATTGTTTGTAATATTGTGTCTCCACACTAACAAGAGAAGACCCTGCTCCTCTACGCTCTCGGGCCATCCGTCGTCTAGTTGACGTTGTCAAGTTGAAATGTTGAGGAAGTCTCGCAGAATTGCTTCGTTTTTGACGTTGTCAAGTTGAAATATTGAGGAAGTCTCGCAGAATTGCTTCGTTTTTGATGTTGTCAACTTTGAAAAATGACGAAGTCTCGCAGAACTGCTTCGTTTTTGACGTTGTCGAGTTCAAACATTGAGGAAGTCTCGCAGAATTGCTGCGTTTTGATGTTGTCAAGTTCAGAACCTGAGGAAGTCTCGCGGAACAGCTTCGTTTTCAAGCTTGCAGATAGACAGGTACATAGATAGATAGACAGACAGGCAGACAGACAGAGAGACAGAGAGACACAGAGAGAGAAGACAGAGAGACACAGAGAGAGAGAGAGAGATAGATAGATAGATAGATAGGTAGATAGGTAGATAGGTAGATAGGTAGATAGGTAGATAGGTAGATAGGTAGATAGGTAGATAGGTAGATAGGTAGATAGGTAGATAAGTAGATAGGTAGATAGATAGATACATAGTTTGATAGACAGATGAGATAGATAGATAGCTAGATAGATAGATAGATAGATAGATAGATAGATACCTAGATAGCTAGATAGCTAGATAGATAGGATGGATGGATGGATAGACAGCTAGATAGCTAGCTAGCTAGGTAGCTAGATAGATAGATAGATGGATGGATAGATAGATAGGTAGATAATCAGAGAAAGAGAGAAAAAAAAGAGAAAAAGAGAGGAAACATCAATCACCTTTCGATCCATCAGCGGCTTGGCTCTGCCATCCGTGATTCACAACAGCCAATCTCTCCTATAGGTTTCCTATTTTTGAAACTTCCGCCACCGCCTTGTGCGGTACTACTGGTAGGATTTTCCATTATTAACCATCCATTTTGGGGTGTCTCCTTTTATGGAAACCTCCACATACCAACATCTCAGGAACGGTGTCGGGTCAATCCCATTGACACAGCTTCCAGCCTTCCAACCGCATCAGATTCGTGCGCTGCTCGACGGTGCGAAGTTGGCTGGCTGCGACGCCTGTATTTTTTCTGCCTTCGGTTGTGGTGCTTTCGGAAATCCACCGGAGGAGATCAATGAGAAAATGATGCCAGGGAAGGGCGGCAGGGTGCTTGGACGAATGAATCCGTTTGAGCGCCTGGGTAAATTAGAACGACCCGACTACGACCTCACTGGAATGTTGGTTAGTAAGGGGATGTAAGGGCAATTTTCTCAATATAGCCTTATTTCAGGTTAGAGCCAGTGAACCACTATAATTTACATTAATTTACCAGATATGCAAGTACAATGTACCTCCCCAGAAACCCTCCCTGAGTGTTGCATCGTTGCATCTATTCATTTGATTTCATTTTGGGTGCCATTATGATGGACTTTCATCAGAGATTTCAAGATTGCTGGTGGGAACTGCCCCTGTGCAATGGGGACGATAGGAGGTGGCACATCTCTTCAGGGAAGAATTGCTGAAAAGAGGTTTGAAGCAGGCAGAGATCGCCAGTCGCAGCTGTTGAGCCCAGGATTGGTGGCTGGGAGTTGTATGGACTTGTCATAGGGCCTAAGGGGAACCCCCTAAGATCATCATTCCCATTTCCGATGGCCATCTCTGGGGTATATACAATATTATATAATTACAAAAAACCCATTGATACACCTAGAATCGGAAAGAGTCTGGAAAGAACTCTCTTGGATTGCACGGTGATCCACACTCTCCACGTTTCTCTCCTTCATTGTATCGCTACTCACAGGTCAGCTTTTGCATCTTCAACGATCACAACGCCGGCCGACGTCACAATCCTAGAGGCGTCTCGGCACTGGGTTCTTTGCTTTTAAGAGTGCTGGACAATGCGACCACGTTTATATATTAGTATGTGTATATATATATAAGTGGTTTATCAATAGCCCCAATCAAGGTGATTTCTTTTTTGAATTGGCACGTATTTCATCCTGCCACTCTATAGATTTCATAGAAATGATGAAACACACACACATATATATATATAAATAAATATAAATATAAATATATATAAATATAAATATAAATATACATATACATAAACAAATATATTTACATACATATATGCATATAACGCAATCCCCCAAAACTCGGAAAGTAGAATCCACCTTTTTCTTTTTTTGTGTATAAAACACCATGTCTGTAACTGGTACAGAATCCTAGCTCGGTGAGGTGATCTATTTTGATCACCGGTGATCCACCAAGTTTTCGGACCTGATTTCCTGGCACCGAGGAAACTTCACCCCCTTTTGGGAGACCTTTCGTGACCTGATGGACTGTGACAGATTGCCTTGAATGCCTGGTGATGGCTGGAGATATCTGGCAGAAACGTGAACTATGACTGATCATCATCAGATTTCCTGGCCGAGTTCAAAAACAGTGGTATTATTATGTACAAAAAAATCATGAATGTGAGATGATAGAAATACATGGTTCAGCTATAGCCCTATGTAATTACCATCTGGTTATTTAACAGTTTGCCATGGAAAGATCCACCCATTTTTAATAGGTAAACCATCTATTTCTATGGGCCATTTTCCAGAGGGTACCCATTTTGATGATTCATGGCTCAGCATCATCGATCTGCCGTAGGATCTCCCGGGCGCCGAAATCGGACAGAGCGAAACGGGGCCGTGACAAAACGGGGCGCAAGTGGTGTGGTGCAAGTGGCGAAAGAAATCGGAACCGGAAACTGATGGAGATTGATGGAAATTGGATGGAAATTGGATGGAAACTTGATGGACATTTGATGGAAAATGGATGGAGATTGATTGAAAATTGATGGAGATTGATTGAACATTGGAACCATTGATGGACATTGGATGGAAAATGGATGGAGATTGATTGAACATGGATGGAACTTTGATTGAACATTGATGGACATTGGATGGAAAATGGATGGAGATTGATTGAAAATTGATGGAACTTTGATTGAACATTGATGGACATTGGATGGAAAATGGATGGAGATTGATTGAAAATTGATGCAACTTTGATTGAGCATTGATGGACATTGGATGGAAAATGGATGGAGATTGATTGAACATGGATGGAACTTTGATTGAACATTGATGGACATTGGATGGAAAATGGATGGAGATTGATTGAAAATTGATGGAACTTTGATTGAACATTGATGGACATTGGATGGAAAATGGATGGAGATTGATTGAAAATTGATGGAACTTTGATTGAACATTGATGGGCATTGGATGGAAAATGGATGGAGATTGATTGAAAATTGATGGAACTTTGATTGAACATTGATGGACATTTGATGGAAAATGGATGGAGATTGATTGAACATGGATGGAGATTGATTGAACATTGATGGACATTGGGTGGAAAATGGATGGAGATTGATTGAAAATTGATGGAGATTGATTGAACATTGATGGACATTGGATGGAAAATGGATGGAGATTGATTGAACATGGATGGACATTGGATGGAAAATGGATGGATATTGATTGAACATGGATGGAACTTTGATTGAACATTGATGGACATTGGATGGAAAATTGATGGAGATTGATTGAACATGGATGGAACTTTGATTGAGCATTGATGGACATTGGATGGAAAATGGATGGAGATTGATTGAAAATTGATGGAGATTGATTGAACATTGATGGACATTGGATGGAAAATGGATGGAGATTGATTGAACATTGATGGAACTTTGATTGAACATTGATGGACATTGGATGGAAAATGGATGGAGATTGATTGAAAATTGATGGAACTTTGATTGAACATTGATGGACATTGGATGGAAAATGGATGGAGATTGATTGAAAATTGATGGAACTTTGATTGAACATTGATGGACATTGGATGGAAAATGGATGGAGATTGATTGAAAATTGATGGAACTTTGATTGAACATTGATGGACATTGGATGGAAAATGGATGGAGATTGATTGAAAATTGATGGAGATTGATTGAACATTGATGGACATTGGATGGAAAATTGATGGAGATTGATTGAACATGGATGGAGATTGATTGAACATGGATGGAACTTTGATTGAACATTGATGGACATTGGATGGAAAATGGATGGAGATTGATTGAAAATTGATGGAACTTTGATTGAACATTGATGGACATTGGATGGAAAATGGATGGAGATTGATTGAAAATTGATGGAACTTTGATTGGACATTGATGGACATTGGATGGAAAATGGATGGAGATTGATTGAAAATTGATGGAACTTTGATTGAACATTGATGGACATTGGATGGAAAATGGATGGAGATTGATTGAAAATTGATGGAGATTGATTGAACATTGATGGACATTGGATGGAAAATGGATGGAGATTGATTGAAAATTGATGAAACTTTGATTGAACATTGATGGACATTGGATGGAAAATGGATGGAGATTGATTGAACATGGATGGAACTTTGATTGAACATTGATGGACATTGGATGGAAAATGGATGGAGATTGATTGAAAATTGATGGAACTTTGATTGAACATTGATTGGGTGGAAAATGGATGGAGATTGATTGAACATGGATGGAACTTTGATTGAACATTGATGGACAGTGGATGAAAATGGATGGGATTGATTGAAAAAGTGAATGTAACTTTGATTAACATTTGTGGAACATTGGATTTGGATGGAAATGGATGGAGATTGATTGAAAATTGATGGAGATTGATTGAACATTGATGGACATTGGATGGAAAATGGATGGAGATTGATTGAACATGGATGGAACTTTGATTGAACATTGATGGACATTGGATGGAAAATGGATGGAGATTGATTGAACATTGATGGAACTTTGATTGAACATTGATGGACATTGGATGGAAAATGGATGGAGATTGATTGAAAATTGATGGAACTTTGATTGAACATTGATGGACATTGGATGGAAAATGGATGGAGATTGATTGAAAATTGATGGAACTTTGATTGGACATTGATGGACATTGGATGGAAAATGGATGGAGATTGATTGAAAATTGATGGAACTTTGATTGAACATTGATGGACATTGGATGGAAAATGGATGGAGATTGATTGAAAATTGATGGAGATTGATTGAACATTGATGGACATTGGATGGAAAATTGATGGAGATTGATTGAAAATTGATGGAACTTTGATTGAACATTGATGGACATTGGATGGAAAATGGATGGAGATTGATTGAAAATTGATGGAACTTTGATTGAACATTGATGGACATTGGATGGAAAATTGATGGAGATTGATTGAACATGGATGGAACTTTGATTGAACATTGATGGACATTGGATGGAAAATTGATGGAGATTGATTGAACATGGATGGAACTTTGATTGAACATTGATGGACATTGGATGGAAAATTGATGGAGATTGATTGAAAATTGATAGTGGAAGGACATTGGACCAGGACAGCAGTCCGGCACGGTCTGAGAATCTTGCGAACTCACAGGACTCCACTTGTGTCCAGCTCGGAAAGCTTGTGACCGGCGGACCGCGAATTTTGAGCTACTTCAGAGCAGATGTGGCAGATGTGTGGATATTAGCCTTAGCCTGCATGACGCCGACTTTCATCCAATTCCAGTTACAGCCAATTTCCGATTCCGAAAGTGGATATAAGTCAAATTGTAGCATCTTTCAGTGGGCTGTTTCACTAGTTTCACCAACCAGACCTTGCGTCGATGCGATGGGCACTCCTGGCATTGATGGGGAAGTGCCTGGCGGAAGGCGATCTCCGGTTGATATGGACATATATGGACCTTCGCTGAGGACCATTTTTGTTTCTCGTTCCATTAAGTTAATATATTATTATTCATATGTTCACATATATTAATTTATATATTCCTTTTATTCATCCGTTAATGAATATGTTCTTTTTTTTATTCTTCCGTTCCGTTAATTAATATGTTAATAGTTAATGTTAATATGAAGATGGATCAAAACCAATGATATTTATACTCCATGATACCAGAGAAAAAAACTACAGGATAGACATCTGTGATAACTTCCAGCCTTTGCAGGTGCTCGATATTGCAATGCAGGAGAAAAGGCGAGGTCGGATGAGAGACCCGGTCTAACGAACGCTGCTTGATGATTTTTTTGTGGAGAACTGGTTGATCATTACTCGGAGAATCATCAACCAGCTGATTTGGCTAGTAAACCACTTTTACTAGCCCATTTACCAACCACTACTTTTAATCATCCGGATGGCTAGTAAAAGTGGTTGGTAAATGGGCTTCGCAGCCTTGGTTAGCCGCTGATTTAAGAATGGGATCACAGCTACGTAAGGAGGACGGTGTCTCGTAACCAGACGTAACCAGGGGACGGCTGGTCCCCCACTCAATTACTTGGATGATCCTCCAAGTATTGGGCTTAATATCCACGAATTTCTTGGGGATATTGGGGATTACCCAACCTGGTTATGACAAACATAGCTATGGAAAATGGATGAACATGGCCCATAGAAATAGATGATTTTCCCAGCTATAAACCTCCATTTATAAGGGATTTTCCAGCCAGCTATGTTAAATAACCAGATGGTATCACAATCCATTCGGGGGAATCCCTAAAAAACCAACCAGTATAATGGAATGACCAGGGTTTCTCAGGTGATGTAGTGGGGTCCAAGAATAAATGTGTGTCGCTCTTGAGCGGGGTAACAAGAATGGGACAAGTATGTCAAGTCGTCCCCAAGTTCGCAGTTTTGGGATTGATTTGACACAAAAACTATTGTCAGTCAATACTTAGACTTTTTACTTTCACTGCCGCAAAAAGTCCCAACCCTTCTCCGATGGGTTCAAGTCCCTTACTTCCCACAGAGATTTTTTCAATGATTTCAAATTAAATGCCATGTTCCAGATATTGGCTTGTCTGAAATAGGATACTGTACCCTAAAATCTGCTCGATGATGATCATTTCTCTGTAATTTTTGGCTTAAGTTTTGGGGTATCCCATCCATTTTAGACAAAAACAAAAATAGACACCGATATTTTTATGGTTCATTGCTTAACAATCCGTGTTTTCGATGGTTTTTCACCATGTCATCCATCATTTTTGCCGTGCTAAATCGCCCGCGCTCTCGGTGACTCGGCGCAGGTCTGGCTGCGGCGCGACGACTTTGGGCTGTCGCCGCTGCGCGGCACGGTGCTTCGGCGCTGGCCGGGACAGGCGGAGGTGCTGCTGGAGGAGCCGGGTTTTGGATCAACAGATGGGTTGAAATATGGATGGTATATATAACCCATATATGGTTTATATGGGGTTATATGGGTTTATATGGTATATCTACCCTCTGGTTATGTCAAAATAGCTATTGAACATGGCCATAGAAATAGTTGATTTTCCCATTAAAAATTGTGATTTTCCATAGTTTTTTGTATGTTTACCAGAGGGTAACCAGAATGTTTTGGGTCTTAGAGTTGTTTTTCCTGTATTTCCCCACCTGCCAGGTGAGGGTTGTTAGATTTTATGTCAGTTGCCTGCTCCTCTCCTCTCCTCCTCATCTCCTCCTCCTCTCCTCCTCCTCCTCCTGCTCCTCGTCGTCCTCCTCCTCGTCCTCCTCGTCCTCCTCGTCCAACTGCGACCCGCGATCCACAGTGTTCTCTGTTGGACCTCAACCACGACCATCCATGCTCAGTGTTCCCTGCCGGACCTCAACCACGACCATCCACGCCAGTGTGCCCTGCCGGACCTCAACCACGACCATCACCGCCCAGTGTTCCCTGCCGGACCTCAACCCGAGTATCCACGCCCAGTGTTCCCTGCCGGACCTCAACCACGACCATCCCCGCCCAGTGTTCCCTGCCGGACCTCAACCACGACCATCCACGCCAGTGTTCCCTGCCGGACCTCAACCGCGAGTATCCCCGCCCAGTGTTCCCTGCCGGACCTCAACCACGACCATCCACGCCCAGTGTTCCCTGCCGGACCTCAACCGCGAGTATCCACGCCAAGTGTTCCCTGCCGGACCTCATGTAGGAAGATATGGGACAAAGAATGTGCAGAGGATTTGCCAGATAGAATGCCAGAATATTTGCCAAATAGGATGTCAGAAGATATGCCAGAAGATATGCCAGATAGAATGCCAGAACATATGCCAGAAAATATGCCAGATAGAATGCCAGAAGGTATGCCAGATAGAATGTCAGATAGAATGCCAGAAGGTATGCCAGATAAAGTGCCAGAATGTTTGCCAGATAGAGTGCCAGAAGGTTTGGCAGATAGAATGCCAGATAGGATGTCAGAAGATATGCCAGAATAGAATGCCAGAACATATGCCAGAAAATATGCCAGATAGAATGCCAGAAGGTATGCCAGATAGAATGTCAGATAGAATGCCAGAAGGTATGCCAGATAAAGTGCCAGAATGTTTGCCAGATAGAGTGCCAGAAGGTTTGGCAGATAGAATGCCAGATAGGATGTCAGAAGATATGCCAGATAGAATGCCAGAAGATATGCCAGAACATATGCCAGAAAATATGCCAGGTAGAATGCCAGAAGGTATGCCAGATAGAATGCCAGAAGATATGTCAGATAGAATGCCAGAAGATTTGTCAGTAACAAATCGATAAATGTCATGGTGGGGATCACACGAAGTAAAGTAATTTTTTTCCTCTTAGGGGACAACATAAATTGCCATGTTTGATGAAACCAGAAGGTATTGGTGAAACACCAGCAGAGACATCAATGGATGTTGCCATGACAGATGGGACATGGAAACTGATGGATAGCTAGCTTTGGAAAATGGACAGATCATGGACAGAGCCCATTAACCATGGGATATATATATACTATGGTTTATAGGTGATGTATCTATAGTAATTGTGAACAATCATGATTTTAAGGGGATGAACATCCATCTTCGGTGAAGTCCACGGCTGAAATTGCGGTTTTGAGGTGAACGGAAGGGCATCTGAGAAATGGGATGTCATCAACTTAAATGTGGAACCTTATAACCAAACTTGCTGATATAAAATGATATATACAATGATATAATGTTTATAAAATGTTGGTTTGAAAATGATATAAGCCAACATTACAAAACATCTTCAAACAATAACTCTCCACAAACTATGGGCCTATGGTGGCTTGATGGAACGACTGTCAGCATGGATGACTTGTCGCCTCCTGGACCGGGAGCGCTGATGATGTTTCATTTGCCCAATGGGAATTCCACCAGAAATGGGGAATCCATTATTGGATATTATTGGATTACATATATATATATATATTAATGTATATACGTATATACATCTACAATATACAATATACACAGTATATAGACAATAGACATGTAAGATTTGGGTTCCTAAAGCAACTCTGAGTTTGATAATTCAGAGTGATGACAGGGTTTTTCTCAACGCCTCGCCTATCTACCTTCCAATTTCTCGATGCACCAGGAGAGCAACCTTCATGTGAGAGTTCCCATCAACAAGCTCAGGATCCGAGTGGTTTTACAAGGTTTGCGGGGCATGGGAACTCTTTTTTAACCAAGAAAATGAGACAGAAACACTACTAGATTGTGATGATGACAGCACTTTATGCACATTGGAGTTTCTGGAAGTGTTGTAAGTGCGAATTGCATATTCCCTATTTAGCATTCATGTCATGACTTTGCAATTGTCATTTCAATCAATGGGCATTTCACCATAGCCCTTTTTCCAAGCTCAAAGATCGGTCGGAAGACCGGTGAGTCCAACGTGAAGGACTTTGGAAAGAGAGTTAAAAGCGCAGGACCACTGACCTGACTGAGGAGGACTTTGTGTGTCTAACGCAGGGAAGTTTGAGGTGCCTGGGGGAGCCTGTCGCGAACAGGTTATGAGCCCAACGCATGGGGACTCTGCTGAAATGATGCTCAGACGAAGAAGGTCTGAGCCTGAAGATGAAGAGTCAAAGAAGGACCAAACAGCGTCAAGCACCCGGGCAAGCGCGAGAAACCAAGGGGCAGAGATGGCTCTAGTGGCAGTGGATAGGGAAAGGGTTGGAAGGCCGTCGCCAAATGGTCCTGTTGGGGAAGATATGAAAACCCCCTTGCCAATAGAAGACTTTCCAGCTGAACCTGTAGGATCCCCTAAGGCCCTAGGACCCAGGAATCTCCAGCCGCTGTTCAACGAAGCTCAGATAAAGAAAGCTGAGGAACTCAGGTTGAGTGCACCCCTTTTGCAGGGTCCGAGCCCCACCGCAGTAAGCCAGTCTACCGGTGGGTGGGATGGGGGTTTGGCTGCAGGGAAGGTGGGAATGGGGAAGGAAGCTGACATGTCAGAGGGACCATCAAGGAAGGGCCCGGAAGTCTTGATGATGTCACCAATGGGATATCCCTTAGCACCTCAACATGGTTATGGATACGTGCCCCACCCCACCCAACAAGGAATGTTTGATGAGATGATGTGGCAGTTTCGACAAGAAATGGGACAAATGTCAAAGTCTCTCACCCAGCTTCAAGAAGAAAATTTGAGGTTGAGGATTCAGCTTATGGAAGAACGAGAGACTAGATATACAACACCTCCCGATGTCACTCCCGCTGAAGGTCTCCGTGACAGCACCCGCCGTCAGAAGGTTTCAGGAAAGAAGCCCAAGTCCAAAGGTGTAGAAGCCAAGCAGGAAGACTTTGAAGCTTCGAAGCCAAAGGAGGATGCAAGTCGAGGAGAACAGGAGGCTGAGACCCCCAAAGCAGAGGAGGAAGTGATTGGAAGGAAGCTTGAAGAAGTTTCTAAGGAGGATGGTCCAGCTGGACAGCAAGAGTCCAGTGAGGAGAGTCAATCGATTCAAGAGGAGGAGTCGGAAGATTCAGTGAATGTGAAAGATCACAAAGGAAGATCAAAAAAGGAGGACACCACAGTGGACACGATGCTCAAGTTGATGCAAGGGATGCAATCGCTGCAACAACAGCTCTTGGATCGAGAGACGATCAGGGGCCGACGGCTAACAGAGGACGATGAGGAGGAGCATGTGAGGAGCAGTGTAGAGCTGCACAAGCTGCCGGAGTGGACAGCTGAGAATGCCCCGGTGGACTTACAGGACTGGTTGCTTCTCATCCACGCGCAGATGTCGGATCTCACCCCCAGCAGCTCAGAGTGGTGGGATCTAGTGGTTGAGACTGCGAAGGACTGGTACCACAAACATCAAGCCATGAAGCCCATCGACAAGCTGAAGCATGAAGTCAGGGCACCACCGCAACTACAGCAGAAGAAATGGAGAAGGTTGGAGAAGAGAGGAAGCAGTTTGCTTCTTCAGGCCTTGCCCAGTAGTCAACGTGATGACATTGTGGCAGGGAAAGACCTTTCAGTGTTGGCGATTTTGGCAAAACTCCTCAACAACTACCAGCCTGGTGGTTCCCATGAAAAAGCAGCAGTGCTGGCCGCTTTGGAGCTGCCGGCAGAAGCGGTGGGGATCGGCGAGGGCATCCTGGGACTACGTCGTTGGTTGAGATGGAAGAAAAGGGCAGAAGACATGGGCCTTCAGTTGCCCGATCCATCGGTCCTTTTGAGGGGCCTGGACCGGCTGGTCTCCAAGATTTTGGCTGGCAATCCAACCTTGCAGTTTCGCATTAACCTGACGAGGACAACACCGATGGTGGATTCTGTGCCCACTATGTCTTCCATTGACCAGTTGGCCGAATGCTTACTGGCTGAGATGGACCAGGTCTCCTATGCCAAGAAGAAGGAAAAGGCAGCCATCGCAGGAGTTCCCAAAGCTCGGAAGATGGAGGAGGCAGGAAAAAGAAGTGAAGCACCTCAAGCCAAGAAGGGCGACGAGGGTAAGAAGGAGATGCCAAAGTGTAAGTACTTCCTGACGGAGAATGGATGCCGTCGAGGAAAAGCTTGCAGATGGGATCACAACCAGAAGGATGACCAGCGTCGCTGCTGGAATTGCGGGTCCACAAAGCACTTCTCCAACAAATGTCCAGTGAGTGAGGGCCAAGGAGAAGTCAAAGTGGCCAAAGCCGAAAAAGATGGCGAAGCCAGAAAGAAGAATGATGAGGAGGACAATCAGTCCGACCGAGCAGTTGCTGGAGCGGACGATATGAAGAGTCTACTGGAAGAAGCTGGAAAGATGCTGAAGGTGATTCCAGGAGCTTCGCAGGAAAGCTCATCGGTTGAGGAGACCGGTGATGCCAAAATCAGGAGACTTCAAAGACAGCTGGATGAGCTTCGAGCTTCTTCGGTGAGAGTGCTGCGATTGGCCAGGGTCCAAGCAGCTGTGGAAGATTTGGGACTCCTTGACAGCGGAGCTACCCATCCTCTTCGGCCTCCAAAGAAAAATGAGGATCTGTCCAAATATCAAAAGGTGAGGATCAATCTGGCCGGAGGAAAACAAACAATGATGATGCTTTCAGAAGGTGGTGCCATCATAGGCGCTGAGGATGTGGAGCCCATTGTGCCACTGGGAGCGTTGGTGGAGAACTTGGGTTGCTCTTTGCAATGGACCGAAGGCCATATGGTCCTGTATCACCCTTTCAAGGGGCAGATTAGCACTCTGCTCAAAGAAGGTTGCCCGATGATCAACAAGTCTGATGCTTTGGAGTTGATCGAGGAGTTGGAAAAGAAGGCACCCGAGCTGAGGAGTGTAGAAGGATCCGCAGCTGAAGCCTACATGCACTGGATGAAGCGCTTGGTAGAAGAACACCCAAAAAGAATCACAGAAAGGTTGGTGATCAGCCCTAAGGAAGGACATATCACCGGAAACCGAAGCCGAAGAAAGCTATGGAAGAAAGAAGGAGGTGTGACGTTGTACCTCTACTCAGGACCCAATGAAGGGTACACTATGGCCAAGGCCATTCAGCTTCTCGGAGGAGAAAAAAAAAAGGTCATAGCGGTGGACATCAAGAACGGAGCCAAATGGGATATGATGGAGGATGACCTCTATGCTGAGCTCATGGACATGGTCATCAAGGGCCAAGTGGAGTCCTTGGTGATGTCTCCAAATTGTCGCACTCGCTCAAAGCTCCGACATTATGAAGTTGAAGGAGTTGATCTTCCTGGACCGGTCCGAGAGTGGAACGGTGGAGAATGGGGAAAGAAGGGCATCGGAGAAAGAGAGGAGAAGAAGTGCCATGAGGATGATGTGATGCTCTTCAGAGGACTCATGCTCTACATGGTTGCCCAGGAGATCAGGAAAGCATCCCGCCACACCAAAGACATCGACCTTGTCTTTGAGCACCCCAGCACCCCGGCAAACATGCCACAGGTGGTATCGTTCTGGTCCACCCCCCAATGGCAAGCACTCAAGCAAGCATACGGCCTGTGGGAGATCCACTTAGACCAAGGGAAGCTTGGAGGAGGAGGGGTCAAACCCACAACGTTGGGCGGCAACTTGCGCATGCAAGTACCCAGCGTGGTCGTACCAGCACCACAACCTCGATGCACACATGGCAAAACAAAAGAGCAGATAGTGCAGGAATCCCAAAACCTTTCCAGATGGGTCCCTCTGCTTACCGACATGGTAGCATGCGCCCTGCTGGAGTCCCAAGGGATCACCCCGAAGTTGAGATCCTGGAGGACACATGTCCAACGATGCCACCAGCCTTTCAGAAAAGACTGCAAGGTATGTCAAGAGGCTGCAGCAAGAGCGAGACCTCACCGGCGTCAAAAACTTCCTCCAAGAGCTGGCGTTCTTTCGGTCGACATCGCCGGACCACTCACCAAGGCTCCAGACCTGGGCAAAGACCATGCTCGTTTTGTCCTGGTCGCGGCGTTCACCTGGCCTACAGGCCTGAAGGGTGACGACTTAGAAGAGTTGCCCGAGGAGGATGATGAGGATGATTTCCCAGGCTGGGAAGAAGATGAGGAGAAACCGAAAGAAGAGATAGGGTCCCAAAAGCCAGGAGCCAAGAAGCGAGGCAGGCCAAGGAAGAAAGACCCTGAGGAGGAGTTTGAGGAGCTGCTGAGGAGAGAGCAGGAAGAACAGAAGCAGAAACGGCAGAAGGAAAAGGAGGCTGCAGAACCCCCAGGAACTGAGGAGCCCTTAAAGGAGGCCGCAGAACCCCCAGGAGTTGAGGAGCCCTTGAAGGAGGCTGCAGACCCCCAGAAGAAAGATGATGATGAAAAGGAAGGGGACTATATGACCCGGGTGGCGCCCGATGTTGAATATGAGCCCACTGAACCGGGCGAAGACCCTTTCCCACAGGTGCCAGCACCAGATGTCCCTGAAGAGCAACAGGCACAAATACAAGTGCACCGTTTGGCATTCCCCTTGCCAGACAAGAGAGGCATCACGATCTTGAATGCCCTGATCGATGCCTACCTCACCTTGAGGAGTGAAGGCATGTTTGTCAATCAGCTCCACTCCGATTTAGGAGGTGAGTTCACTGGAGCGTACATCGAAAAGTGGTGCAAGGAAAGATGCATCCTCACAACAACAACCCCAGGGGTATCCCCTCAAACCAACGGCCGAGCAGAAAGGGCCGTACAAGCCATGAAGACAGAGACGAAGAAAATCCTGCGTGGCGGGCAGGTAGGTATCGAATGGTGGCCGATTGCCGTTCGATATCTCAATGAAGTATGGAAGAGAAGCAGAACAGAGGCCATTGGGGCCATCCCGCCATTCATGTCCAAAGTGCTGATCAGAAGAAGGTATTGGCGCACAAAGGACATGGAACCCAACAACGAAGAGGTTCACTACCTCACCCCTTCCTGGCGGAACTATGGGCATTGGGTACTCCGCTCAGACAACACCCAAGCCTTGACCAGGGCTGTCATCACCAACACCGTGGAGCCAGTCACTGAGGACACGTGGATTGCCTTAGAAGACAATCTGACTCCCTTGGATCTTCGAAGGAGAATTCGAGGAAAAGCCATGATCAGAAAGGTACAAGAGGAGAAAGATGAAGAAAGCAGGCAAGACAGGCTGAAGCGGGAAAAGGTGATACAGGAAGAGGCAGAACATGCCTTCTATGATGATGAAGAGGTTGTTGAGGCCGTACTCAGGGGGGTGAAAGCCATGCAAGAGATGGATCAAGAAGATGAAGGAGAAGTGCTCCAAACGAAAATTGTGGGCACTGCCGAGGTGGTCAAAAAGAAAGACCTTTGGCATCAGGCCATTTCCAATGAGATCAATTCACTCTTCTCAGAAAAGAAAGCGTTGAAGCTTTTGACGAAAGAGGAGAGCGACAAGTATCTCAAAGAAAGAGGAGCGATTCCACTACCTTCCCAGACCGTATTTACGGTGAAGCCAGATCCGGCTGATCGTCGGGGAAAGCGAAAATGCCGCATAGTCGCATGTGGCAACTATGAGACTGTGGGTGGAGATGAAAACTGTTTTGCGGCAGGAGCAGATGCTGCTGCCCTTAGGCTGGCGCTGGCTCTGGCCACAGTTCGCAAATGGTGCGGCATCAATGTGGACATTCGCACCGCCTTTTTGAACGCTCCCTGGAAACATGAAAAGGGGGGTGAAGATTGGTTTTTTGAAGAAGAAGGCGAAGAAGCTCCGCTGCCAATGCTTCTTAAGCCACCACCAATTTTGGTCAAACTTGGCTACTTTCCTCCCTATCAGCTCTGGGAGGTTTTGCGGGCTCTTTATGGCTTCCGGAGGTCTCCGAAACTCTGGAAGGATTACAGAGATGAGGAGATGGAAAAGATGAGAGTTGGAAAGATGAGGCTGCATCAGCTTGAATCAGAGCCGAGCACATGGGCCATCCGCCAAGAAGAGACTGGCGAATTGCAAGGGCTCATGCTCACCTATGTCGATGACATTTTGGTCCTTGCCTCAGAGGAGACTGCAGAAGCTTGGATCAGCTGCATCCAATCCAAGTGGGAAACCTCCGTCCCTGAGAAGGTGGGCTGTCAGCAAACCACCCGGTTTTTGGGTATGGAGTTGTCTCGAGATCAAAATGGAGTGTGGTGCGCCACTCAACACTCCTACACTTTGGATCTCTTGCAGAAGAACATGGGGATGGACAGAGAGAAGTGGGGATTGAAGAAGATTCCCATGTCAAAGGAGGATGGAAGTTTGGATAGTGATGGTGAGGATGATGCAGAAAAGACAGTAGAAAAGGTTCGAGAAGCACAGAGAATTGTAGGTGAGCTGACCTGGCTGGTGACCAGGTGTCGCCCCGACATCATGTATGTCATGTCCAGAATTTCCAGATGGACCACCAGACGACCTTCCAAGGTCATTGCTGCAGCGCCTCAAATCTGGAAATACCTTGCGAATTCCATCCAAGAAGGGATTCGTTTTGGAGGAAACGAAGATGGTTGCCTAGACCTCCTGGTCTACACCGACGCGGCCTATGGAAATGAAGGCCACGGATGTTCAGTGGTGATGTGGCTGGGAGCTCCAATTTTGTGGCGAAGCTCGCGCCAACAACTTCAAACCGCATCCACAGCAGAGTCGGAGCTGTTGGAGATTTTGGAAGGAGGAGTTTTGGCCGAGGCAGTCAGAGTAGTGGTAGAAGAAATTTTGGAAAGGGCAGTGCGATGTTGGCAGTACTCGGATTCTGCCTCAGCCATCGCCATAGTTGGAGGCGACAGTGCGTCCTGGAGGACGCGCCACTTGAGGAAGAGGGCTCGCTACATGAGATGGCGGGTGCTGAGTGGAGATGTCATCCTCCGACACACTCCAGGCAACGGCATGATCGCCGACCTGGGCACCAAAGCTTTGGCGGCATTGAAGTTGGAGGAGTTGAAGAAAGCCATGGGCATGACAGATAGAAAGATCAAAACAGAGAAAGAAAAGGAAGATCTCGGTGTGGTGAGAGGGCCTACCGAAGAAAAAGAAGAGAATGGCGAGGTGAGAGAGCCGGCCATAGAGACGAAAGAAGTGAAAGGAGGGATAAAGTCCCCAAAAGATATGGTCAGGATGGCGATGATCATGGCCATGCTCAGCCGAGCGAGGGCCGAAGATGAAGATGGAGATGCAGGAGAGGAATCATCTTCTTTGACATGATGATGGTATATACGATAGTGGTGGTGTTGGTCACGTTGGCCATTCAAAGCGGCTGGAAGCGACGACTGCTCAGGGCTGAGACGGCTGTGGGACCAGATCGGTCCCGCGGCGAACTCGCTCAACGGAGTGCCAGGACATCGGGTCTGATGACCGATGGTCCAACCTCCGTCCCGGGTGAGACGGTTCTGGGATTCGGTGGAGGAGACCAATCTCGGGACGAACTCCCCAGGGGAAGCAGTCAGTTGCTCGGGAGTGCCAGGACATCAGGTCTGACGTCACAGACTGGTGGTCCAACCTCCCTGCCGGGTGAGACGGTTCTGGGATTTGGTAGAGGAGACCAATCTCGGGACGAACTCCCCAGGCGAAGCGGCCAACCATCTGGGAGTGCCAGGACGTCGGGTCTAGCGTCACAGACCGATTGTCCAACCTCCCCGCCGGGTGAGACGGTTCTGGGATTTGGTGGAGGAGACCAATCTCGGGACGAACTCCCCAGGCGAAGTGGCCCACCACTAAAAGAAGAAAAGGAAGAAACACCAAAGGCTGTAAAAAGAGCCAAAAGTATGGGCCAGTCTTCTGCGTCCAAACAGGACGGACAGAAGAACACTTATGGCCAACCAGCTTCAAAACTGGAAGCTCCGCTACCAGAAGATCAAACAGCCTCTGCAGGAATCCAAGAACCAGCGATTCCCAAGGCGGCAGCAGAAAAGAAAGAAGTTGCTCCGCCACCAAAAGTTTTGCAATCAAAGTCAAAAGGAAAGAAAGGTGATGAAAAGAAGCCAAATGAAACGAACTCAACAGGGATGACGCAGATCAGAACCAACCATGCTGCAGCCGAGCTAAAAGTTGCAGCTTCCTCATCCACTGGCACTGGTGCTCAGATCCCTACGGATCCATCTTCCAGTGCTGACCAATCGATTGACCTGTACTTTACAGGCCTTGGAAAGAAATATCACTTCCGAAAGGATTGCTATGGGTTGAGAAATTCACAGATGGTGCGACACACCGATATCTGTGAGCAGTGTGTTCCTCAACTTCGCGGATGGCATCCTCGAGGGAGAGACATGTATGGAGCTGGATTGAATGGACCCCAGCACACCGATGTGACTCACTGCGAAAAAATGCATGGATATTCCATTGCGTATCAGCCGTGTAACTGGTGTGCGAGGCCAAATGGAAGCGAAAAGTGAAAAAGGTGCGATGACACGCAAAGTGAAAAATTTTGGAAAAGAAGAGCGGAAAAAGAACATCTGAGAGAGGGCTTGAGCTTTGAATGTAACACTGTCGTGCGGATGGTGTGATATATTTTTTCGTGTGACTGTGCCTCTTGCGAAACACAGTCAGGGGGTGTGCGAATTGCATATTCCCTATTTAGCATTCATGTCATGACTTTGCAATTGTCATTTCAATCAATGGGCATTTCACCATAGCCCTTTTTCCAAGCTCAAAGATCGGTCGGAAGACCGGTGAGTCCAACGTGAAGGACTTTGGAAAGAGAGTTAAAAGCGCAGGACCACTGACCTGACTGAGGAGGACTTTGTGTGTCTAACGCAGGGAAGTTTGAGGTGCCTGGGGGAGCCTGTCGCGAACAAGAACCTCCCCTAGATAGATGCTGAAGATGGGTGAACCAAGTCATATTTGTTACAGACAAATCCTCAAGATGTTGAGTAAATCCTCATTTTTGGGCTTATTTGTTGGGTCGAATGGCAGCAAAAAAATGCAGCGAAAAAAGGACTCGTTTTGGTCACTTCTGCGCCTGCGTCGCTTTGTGCCTCTTTGGACGAGTGGGCAACCTGGAGGGGAAATTCGACGAGGCCGGGAGTCCATGATCCACGGCGAACTTCACGGCGAACTTCGCGGCTAACCAATGGGAACCAATGGGAACCAATGGGAACCAATGGGAACCAATGGGAACCAATGGGAACCAATCGAAGTTCCTGTTTTTTTTCCCCGATGTTTTAAATCAACACTAGGGCTAGGGATTTATGTAATGGGGCTGGAAAATCATCGAGCTGGGAACTTTTCAGCCATGATTAGCAAAAAACAGCCATGTTGAGTAGTTGGTTGGGAGATTTACGGCGTTTCACCGAGGATATCGTTTTGTGGGTTTTTGTTGGGGGTTGCGTTTTTCGGCGTGAGTCTGTTGGGACGGGGTGGTATTTTTGATGACGGTGATTTGTCGCGACTTGATGGGGATTTGTTTCTTCATTTTTTGTCGAGGTTTTAAGCACCAGAAATACACATATACCCTCTGGTTATGGCTAACATAGCAATGGTATAGATGGCCCATAGAAATAGATGGTTTACCTATTAAACACGGTGATTTTCCATGGCTATGTTAAATAACCAGATGGTAACTGATAAATGATGGTTGGTTGATGACGTTTTTGAACGCTGAGAAAATCTCGCAAGCCGAGAAGACACTTGAATCGTCCACGGCTTCCTGTTGTCTATGGCAGATTACATTATGTTATACCATCCTTTATTGGTGTTGTGCTCTTGGTAATATCTTTTTGTTGAGAAATACTTGGGTTTGTCCAAACACGGTCGATCTATATACCCCCAATAGATGCATTTCTCTTAACGTGGAAAACGAGGTTTTAAACCATGAAAAAAATCAGGGGCTAATCAAATCATTGGCCTCAGGATGTTTCAGGGACATGTTCATCTGGTTGGTGGATTCAAACATTTTTTATTTTCCATAATATATGGGATAATCCTTCCCATTGACTAATATTTTTCAGAGGGGTTGAAACCACCAACCAGTCATACATTTTCCCATAGATTTTCCATGAAATTCCCATCTTGGATGGAAAAACCCATGGAAAAACCCTCCAGATTTTCACCAGGCTGGCTCCAGCGAGGATGCGCTGGCAATCTCAGCGGCAAGTGTCTGGGAGCACGTGGACTCCTGGTTGCAGTTGGATCGAAATGGAATGGCTGGCTGGAAGCCAAGACTTACCCGGCCTGGTATACGTTCACAAAAAACGATGGAAAATCACCATGCTATTAATGGGACAACTCACTATTTCTATGGCAATTTTCAAGAGCTATGTTAGTTTACCAGAGACTTGCTGGTGCGTTTTACGTAGGGTTGCTGAATGGGTTGGGAAAGAGGTTTGCTGGGATGATCTGCGATAGATAGTGAGGCCAGTGGATCAGCAACCCGAAAATTCCCTACGTTTAAAACGCACCAGTAAGAAGAGGGAACTCCCCGGAAGGAGGGCTTGGTAAATTGGAGGTTTAACGGTTAAATCATGGAGATCCCCCAAATCTTCCAACATTTTGGGTCCCATGACATCCAGTGAAAGCCATGGTGACTTTCCGGGGATAACCACAATGGCTTGGAACACATATATCAATATATATCAGACATATCATGAAATGGCCCTTAAATTTTTTTGGGGATTTTATGAACGTCGCTGAAACGTTTGTATAACATCGGAGAGGTCGCGGCGTCATTTTGTCATCCAACGGTGGCAGTTTTGTCATGTAAAAATCCTCGAAGTACGATCGGGGGATCCGGGGGATCATGGGGACCAGAACAGAATTGAATGATGTTTCAGCCGGATACCCTCTGGTAATTTAACATAGCTATTGGAAAGATCCACCCATTTTCAATGGGAAAATCCACTATTTCTATGGTGATTTTCAATAGCTACGTTAAATTACCAGAGGGTAAGCCATGAATAATCAACAAACATGATTCTAATGTTGCAGACAAACATGTGGAAAAAGCCGCAGAAAAATTGAAAAAGCCATAGAATGGTTTTTTTTAGTAACTCACCAATTCACCGACACATCTGTAATTCATAGCGAGCTTTGAACTTCAAAATGGGGGACAAAACTATGGGCTTTGTGTAACCCAATGGCGAATGGCTTATCCATCTTATCCCATCCCCCTGATATCCCCATGGTATGGTCCCAGGGTCCCAGTCATGTGTGGTTCATAGAATTGGATGATGGGAACATTTTAACCGGAAAGTCCTATATTTGATGGTAAAAACCCATGGCTTTCCTGTAGATTTTCCCTTAAACCAATCCAGTGAGTGGTTTCATCATGTTTCATCCCCTACCTCCATGGTTTCGCAAGCCGGTTTCGCCACAGGTCAGAGCCAACTCGGAGATGCGCTGGGACATTTTCGCCCATACTTGGGACGAAGACCTCCATGATGCGATGCTTGGCCGCTGGGTATCTGGGTATCATACTGAGACTGGGGGATATACCCAATGGATCCCAATGGCGATGGAAAACATGATGATACCAGTGATACACCATCAAGAATTCATTGGGCTCGTATTATGGTACCATATATTTTCCACGCAAAACCACGAGTGGAGCCATGGGCCGTTCAAAGATGTCTGTTTTCGAAGTCATGGGCCGTCCGAGGATTCAGCAAGCGTATAGGCCTGGGGGCGATGGGGCCGTGATTTTCGGAGGTTTTCACCAGTCCAACACTGTTAAGACTGAAGCCTCTGGCAAGCTGAAACAGACTGGCAAGCTGAAACGGGCAAACAATGAAAATTGATCTTTGAGTCTGCAAGCTTTGGGAGCAAATTGACATTTGGTAACAGCAGTTGTTCCAATCACATCTCAACCCACTGCATTTTTTGGGGGCTTTCCTATGTATAGCATATCTATACAAGGTGAGGCCACGCATTTACAAGATGTGATTAGTTGGGTCAACCCATTAACGATAGTGATATCCCCCATCAATCCAACAGTTCGTCAATTATGCCTCCAACCTAGAACTTATAGTCAACTATGCCTAGTCAACAATGACTAACAGTTAACACCGGTGAACTATACTTGTTACTCACTCAGCTTTATCTACCATCTGGTTATGACTAACATAGCCATGGAAAGATCCACCCATTTTTCAGTTCGGTAAACCATCTATTTCGATTAGGGCCATCGAAAAACCATGGCGAACTGTTAGTCGTAACCAGAGGCTATCTCCCCCCCTCGCCGTGTAGCCAGGCCTCGGAAGCTGCACAGCGAGAGCAACGTGTCGTGGCTTCCGGTGGAGGGCTTCGGTGAAAGCCTGCGCCGCAGCAGTGAGCTGCGGAGAGAGGAGGAGCGGAGCGGCCTGGTTTTTAACCGGGGATCAGGAAAATATGGAGCTGTCCAAGATGGAAAATGGATGGAAAATGGATGAAAATGGATGGAAAATGGATGGAAAATGGATGGAAAATGGATGGAAAATGGATGAAAATTGATGAAAATGGATGGAAAATGGATGGAAATGGATGAAAATGGATCATACCTCCATAGGAGAATAGCTCAATGGACTATAATTTGATGATTATAAAAAATGATTTCGCTATTTAGGATTTCTATAGTTATGTTAGCTTGCCAGATGTTTCAAACATGGACGGGTCTGTTGATCATGTTAGTAAAGCAATGTCATGTTCACCACCCACATCAAAATTGATGATTGAAATCCCTCCCATCTATGGTACATTCGGGGATGGTGGATCCTATTGCTTTACTGACATCTATTCCAATGATTATCAGTGATCCAATATTATTCAATGGGGTTGTAATACAGTTATTATCCACTTTCTCTATATATATATACATATATATATATATATAGAGTCGGTTTTCTAAAGGGGGACCCCCAGGGAATCATGGTTGTTTCTTACTAAGTCATGGTCATCCACGACGACTGGATGCTTTGGGGTACATAACCCCATTTTAGGATATTTTAGGACACCTCCATATGTTTAAGATAGTGAGTCCACTGGGAATGAGTAATGAGTAATATAGTCCATGTAAGCATGAGTTATATGTGAGTCACGGTGGGAATGGTTGAAGACCACTGTAGTATTGCTTCTGGCACTTTTGTCAGATCGAAACGCATTGAAACGCTGTAAAGCGATAGGCCCCCCTCCAAAAGCGATAACCATGACAATAGTAATTACTGAGATGTACAGGATTTTCACGGGAGCTCATGTGTATTCTGGATCGACTAGATTCCCAGATGAATATCAAGAAACATCAGGAGGCTAGGCTGGTGACCCATCAAAGGCTGGTTCAAAGGGTACCTTGAAATAGAACTTCCATCCGTGGATGCATTGCTGTCGCTTCGTTGGAGGAGATCCAGGGGGATTTTCGATACGATCTGGTGGTGGTCATGCGCTATGACATTCTTTTTAGGCGTCAGCCATGTGGACCCAAGTGGATACGGAGGTACTAAGGGGGACACCACTGAGTTGAGATATAGCCAGTAAACCAATGGGGGTACATCTAAGTTGGAACATGTTGGAACCATGATTCTCCATCTCTAAACAAACTACCCTCCGGTAAACTAACATAACTATGGAATATCACCATTTTTAATGGATAAATCCACTATAAATGGCCATTTTCAATAGCTATGTTAGTTTACCGGAGGGTAAACAAACACAAGGATTCCGAACATTCCGCACTTTTATCCATGTGGCCGCAGGCGTCCATTGAAACTGGTCTTGGACAGCGATGTCAACACGCTTTGGAGCAGCCACTGGTGTTCCGTCCATGCGGAAGACTTCTCGGTCCGCGAAATCGTCATTTGCCCAGGGTCCGGGTTCGGGTTGGGTGAGTTTGGGTCCCATGATGAACATGGCGGCACTTGAAAATCCGTGAATCTCCGAGAATTTGTATCATGATATGAATTGATATCATGCACATGGTTCATATATGTTCATATTCAAAGAACTATGATGGATTATGATGGATTATGATGGATTATGATGGATTATGATGGATTATGATGGATTATCCATGGATTATCCAGATTTATCCAGGTTGATCATGGATAAATCATGGATATTTTCCCAAAACCCTGGGAAAAATCCGAAGGATTTTTCTCTCAGCTTTCTCTCGAGGTTGTGGCGTCAGAGGAGGAATTGCTGCTGGAAGCTCCGGATCCACGATACCATGGCTCTGGAGTCTTTGCGCCGTCACAGTTTGCACCTGGAGGAGATCCATAGCAAAATCACCCGAGATTTTTCAGAAGGGAAAATTCATGGTTTAGCTGGCTGGAAAATCCCTATGAAAAATGGAAGTTTTAATAGCTGGGAAAATCATCTATTTCTATGGGCCATGGCTTCCATAGCGATGTTTGTTAAATAACCAGAGGGTACGATATGCCCATGTGGGATGATAGGATCATAGTGGGATATGATAGTGGGATACCTTATGGTACCTACCGAACGAACTGGAAAATCACCTTATTTTTCATGGGAAAATTCACTATTTCTATGGGCCATGGCTTCCATAGCAAACTGTTAGTTTACCAGGCCGGGTACGAGCTTTGCCCATTGGTTGAAAGATGGAAATCATTCCATATAAAATTTAGCATTAATTCATTTTTGCTGATTCAAACAGTTTTCAGTTGGGTAGCCATGGTTTAATCCTGATCCCATTTTCACAAAACGCCATTTGAATGATTTTGGAGTTGTTTGGTGAGATCAAAACGTCGTTGTTGAGTCGAAGCTGGGGGCCCGAATGACCCAATATGATATCCTAATGGAACATAGTGGAACATGGATTGCTGGAAATTCACTAGTCACCCATTCAGTTCGATGATTATATGTTTATTTATATGTTATGTATCTGTATATATATATATTAAAATATATATCGTATAATATATAATATATAATATATAATATATACTATATAATATATAATATAATATAATATATATTGTATAATATATAACATATATATAATATATAATACACAATCTATATATATATAATATTATATAATATATAATACAATAATATATATATATATAATACAATATATATATAATATAATATAATATAATATAATATAATATATATATATATTGTATTATATATTATATGTTATATGTTATATATTATATATTATATATTATTATAATATATAATATATAATATATAACATATAACATATAATATATAATATATAATATAAAAAATATAATATATAATATATAATATATAATATAAAAAATAATATAAAAAATAATATATAATATATAATATATAATATTAAAAAAAAAATAATATATAATATATAATAATGTATATAATATAATATAATATAATATGATATAATATGATATAATATAATATAATATGATATAATATAATACAATATAATGTAATGTAATGTAATGTAATGTAATGTAATACGAGCTTTGCCCATTGGTTGAAAGATGGAAATCATTCCATATTATATATTATATAATGTATATATATATATTATAGATGGTCATTGAGTTCGAAGTTTCGGGGGTTTCCAGTTGCCATGTTGGAAGCCGTGGCTTCTCACCAGGACTCCATGACTTTTGGTTCGCAGCGGCTTCGGAGACCATGGACAGCTTCGCTCAGTGGGGCGCTGCCCGGCCCAGGTTCCTGGAGCACTTCGGCATGCCATCGCAGGAGGTCCCTGCGCCTTGGAGAAAACTGGGAGGGTGGATGGAAAATGATGGAAAAATGATGGAAAATGATGGAAAATGCTGGAAAATCATGGAAAATGCTGGGATGGAAATAGATGAAATAGCCCTTTCTACTCCCCAAATGTGAGATTGATATGGATATTTATGGTATATTCCATTGGTTTTTGAGTCCCTGAGTGAACTTGGAAGCTACGGATTTTTCTCTCACGTCACCTGAGAAAATCTCGACAGATTCGGAGCTGCCCAGAAAGCCGAACGCCGAACGCCTCAGTTGGATGTGGGACACTTTCACAGCTACCTCCACGCCCTGGAGCTTGGCTTACAGCTGAGCTTCACAGGCGGGGATGATGGGTCAGGGAGTTGTCATATTTGAGGGACATAAGGGACATCTAGCATCCTCCCAAGAAAATCATGGGATCTAACGGGATTTTTTATGGGATATACTTGTAGTGATCTAAAAATCAATAAGATGTGTGTCTGTTCAGAAATATGGAGATTTACTATCCGCCACCTACCAGTTTCACCCTGAACACAGCATTTTGTTTAGAGAAGAGTAGTCTTCCAAAGCCCAAATAGCCCAACTCATGGCACTGTCTAGGGGTGGGATTATCGGGTGCCGTGATGCGACGTTTGAAAGGGGTTTTCCCACAAGGGGGACCTTGTGGACGTCAAACTTAAGCGTTGGAGAATGGAAATCCCATGTTTCATTCATACATTTCTTCCCATGCACGATGGAGATTGTCCCACAAAAATGCTGATATGGAGGTTTCCTATATCAAATCATCCAAAATTGGTTATTATCAATGGGAAAACTAATGGTTTAGAGAACCCATATTTTAGGAACCCCCCATATATCCAGGATTCCGCTTGCACGTCGCATTCGATTTTTGCATTTTTCTAACTGGAGGCATCAGCTATGTGGACTTCACGCTGGTTCGCTACAGAGGCTGTGAATTGGATGTTGGTGGCTTGTCAAAAAACAGTGGAACAATGTCCAGTTTTTGGGGTATGAATCGGTATGAACATCACCTGTTTTGTTCTGATTGTTTTTTTTTGGTATGCACATCTAATAAATTTTGTTTTTTTCTTTGGTTGGATGATCAGAATGCAAGTATGAAGATTCGTTGGGAGTTTTGCAAAGTTTGGTGGCTTGTTAGCATTTTTTGCCACCGATCACATACTCAATGAAGATGTTTAGGGTCGTTTCCACACTCACGGAAACCCGCATACGACTGATTGGAAATGGGCTCTCTTCAAATATCACCGGCAACGACGAATGGAAGAATGGAGACATGTGAGCAGTTTCAAGATGCTCAGGGATTTTTTGGTTGGGTTACCCGCTGGTAAACAAATAGCTTTGGAAAATCAACATGTTATTTTTTCGGTAAACCAACTATAAATCAGTCATTTTCCATAGCTTTATGTTACATTAATGTTACTGACTACCAGAGGGTATTAGTTGGGTTATACGGTTATACTTTACCCAACGAAAAAAAATCAACCCATCCCACCCCATCGATATTTCACAGTCTCCAAGGCGAAGAGATTTCGTCTCCCGATTGGTTTTGCCTCTTTTGGGAAGTGAGCATCACCAGGTGGCGTTGGAAAGATTCGGGAGCGAGGATCCAGATTCATCCATATATATATATTATATATACATATCCATCCATATTCATCCATATTCCCGAAATATTTCCCTATAACATCTATTATTAAAATGGGGAGCAGTTCAGAACTACCAAGAGTTTCCCGTTTGCACATGGCACATGATACTTATCCCCATCAAAAAGGACGCCATTTGTCAAGGCGCTGTGACTCCTGGCTGCCAACAATCAGCGGCTGGGCGCATCACTTTTGTAGCTCAGCACGCAACATTCATGTTCATCACTGGGTCGGTTGTCGGTTTGATCGGTGAAGTTTGCAGGATTTACATGAATTTTACATGGATTTACTGGCCAAGTTTAATGTGGTTTCATGTGGTTTCCACTATGAAGTTGCTTCTTCCCCTTGGTCCATCGATGTCCATCGGAAAGCCAATTGAGCAGCCGCCAAAACCTCCATGTGGAGATTTAAAGGGCTGTTAAAGTAAGATGGCTCCGCGAAAGGTAAAACCACGTTCGTCAAAGATTCGGGAAAGTTTTTGCGAAGATTTGCTTCCGCGAAAGCTCGCGAAAGAGACTTTCAAGGCTCAAAATCCATCAAAGTCCTGGTTTTAAGTTTTAAGTATATGTTGATAGACAGTGTCCTCAGATGTATCTGGATCCATACGGATATATTATTCACATTTCTATAGATGTGACCCAAAAATTATCATAGTCAGTAATGT